GATTTCTATAGATTAGAATGTAGATGACAAAAGGATAAAAATGATCACACAGAAAGTTACTGTTATAGACAATGATCCAGGTGACATTATTCTTATGTATAAGGAAGTAAATTCAGAAACATTCTAAAATTGGCTTTGAAACCGTTTCTAGCCAGTTGGTTAATGTGGCTCCAGAAACAATTTGCTAGGAGGTAGTGTTAAGATAGTAAAAGGAGCACTGGACTAGGAGTGAGAAGACCTGACTTGTAGCCCTAAGTCTCCCTTCTGAATTAGCTGGGAGACCTTCTACAAATCACTTAGACTCATTCAGCCTTGACACATCATCATTCATAACACCCAAAACACATTAGGCGTTACTCTGGGATACTTTTTTATTTTCTCTGAGGTCCCTCCGAATTAAAAAAAAAAAAACTTTTTTAATTAGGTCTATGTGTCAAGTACAACTTTTTAAGTAAAAATGACCTTTGTTTTTTGTATATATTTAAAGGTATACAACCTGATGTTTTGATAAGCTTTCTTTCTTTTTTTTAAAGACAGAGTCTTGCTCTGTTGCCTAGGCTGGAGTGCAGTGCAATGCCTGTCATAGCTCACTGCAATGCCTGTCATAGCTCACTGCAACCTCAAACTCCTGGACTCAAGTGATACTCCTACCTCAGCCTCCTCAGTAAACCTTTCTTTCTTAATTCCTTCTCCTAAGTCTATCTAAACTCACATATTCAGCCCTCTGAAAACTAAATTCATTTATTTCCCCAATATTTGCCTCAATGCCTCTCTTCTGTGCAGGGGTACTACCCTCTTTCTTGAGATAGGGGGCTGCCAACACTTGCACCCCAGACACTTGGCATCACCTTCTAGGAGCAAAGCTTTCCCTTCTTTTAAGACAATTGGGGAAGGTGATTCTTACTCTACAAAATTGGGAGCATGCAAAAAAAAAAAAAAAAGTAACTTGGAGCAGGAATTTTTTCTTTTTCATGTAGCTAGTCCCTCTCAACCAATGGAACAAAAGACTTTGTCAGATCGTATTCTTGCCACTAGAAGAATGTGTTTAAGAAAGTCTCTTTGTGCTATCTGCTACATCACACTCTCTCCTATTCAGCTCACCTTTGTTATCGGTCTTGGGACATCCAAAGGGCATGTTTTGTGTTTTAGATCATAGAAGCTTCCCTTTCTGAGACAGCTGCCTTGGCATGGGTGTCCGGGGGATGAGCCGGCGGCTTTTTTGTGGTGTTGTCTCACTCTTGGTCCAGTTAGTCAGCCAGCCCTCTTGGGAGGAAGTGGAGCTGGCCTCCTCCTGATGATGATCGACTCTCAGTTGTTTGTAATTTTCTCAAAAAATAAATACTCTGAGGCTACAGTTTCTCAGGATTGGTCTTAACCCCGGAGTGTGTTTTGTTGTTGTTGTTTTTGGAAAGTTTCAAAAACATCTGTTTGGAAGAGATTATTTCAGTGGAGAACATGTATGTCAGCAGTTAAATGTCTCAGACCCATTTTCTTTCTTTTCTTGTGTGTCCGAATAACCCTTTAAACTGTCAAGTACCTAGACCTCAATGAGGAATCAAATGATTTTGATATTTTTTTTCTTGATTTCTCCCCTTTTTCTCAGAAAATGCCTGAGGAAAATAAGAAAGGATCTAGATATATTTTGCATTGCCAAGAAAAATAATAGGCCTTACTGTTGCCTTCACCCAACTTTGAAATTGTACTTTGTTCATTTCACAATGGGACAACGTTATACTGCAGTTAGGTTCTCCAGCTTAAGCCTTACTTGCCTTTTTTCCCTGAACATTAAAATAAAGTTCTCAGATAACTGAAATTTCTAGAATTATCTTTCTAAACCTAACTCACTAGGTAACTTGGTTCAAAAAGTAACTCACTTTCCCCAGATACTAAATAAAATACATCATACTTCCAGTGACCAAGCCCCCACCCTTCCCCAAACATAGCCGTATTTTTTGGTCATAGTTCTGCTTTTACATGAATGAGACCCCACGCATCCTGTTTTGGGGTCCTTAAAATGGTACTTCTTACAACTCTGTTGTGGGGATTAATTGGTTAACTCCATTCTCCCTCTCTGGATACCTGCACCTTCTCACCCCCTCTCACTCCCAATTCTTTTCTCCTTGTTGTTTTTGAAAGCAGGATGGTGGCTGGCAGCAGCAACAGGATCTGTTTCCATTTTGAACCTTATAAATTACCGAGGTGCAGAAGTAACAGGAATTGTTTGGCTGCTGCTCGTTAAGCAGGAGGGGGTCTGGGCTGAATTTCCTCAGTAAAATCTTTGTTGCTTTTACAACCCAAACACCTTTGTAGCCACACAGTACTCAGATAAGAAACAACCCTCCCATTCCTCTTTGTCTGCTTGTCCTCTTTTGCCCTTCATTACTTTATGTTCATTTTCTGTCTCCCTACCTCCCTTCTACCCTCTCTTCCTCCCTCCCTTCCTTCCCTCCTTGGGGCATGGAAGGAACATTTGCTCTCAATTTCCTTAAGGGGCTGGGGAAATTGGGGCATGACTTGAACAAGCTAGTTCCCTAAAATCCCATAACTGGGAACTCATGCAATGATCTATATAAATACCTTATCTCAGTGGGGAAAAACAAATTAGAGAAGTAAAGCAAGTATCTGGAAAATTGAGAGGAAACCAAAAGCTTACTTTTCAGTGTAAATTTTCCCTCTAGAAATCACTGTTAAAATGCCCCACTGTTCTACATCAACTCTGTTTGCTAAACACCCACTGGGTACAGAGCCCTGACAGGGGGAAAAAATGGGGAAAAGGCTACTATTGTGATTAAAAGCACAGAGTTTTGGAATCAGCCCAAACTGGGTTTCAATCCAGGCCTACTGTTATGCGATCCTGGGCAAGTTAACTTCTGGAACTCAATTTTCTCACCTGTAAAATGGGAATATAGTCCTCGCCTTACAGGGTTGATGAGAAGGTGAAAGGAAATACGTTGTATAAGAGCGTAGTGAGTTCCTGGAGTAGTGGCAGGCACCGCCAGCTCTCCACCACCACAGCCTCTCCCATTTGTACTCACATCCTTTGCAGCTTTCATGAATTTTACTTTGCCAATAATATGACCCTTTGATTTACTGGATTGTTTGAAAAAGAGCAAAAGCTCTCTCTCTACACCAACGGGAAATTATCTTAACTTGCTAGGAAATAACTTTTGAAAAATTTGTTTAAAAATGTTCTTTCAAATCCCTTTTAGAAAACGTCTCCTTGTCCTATCCCAGAGTAGTCCTGAAGTCTTGTGAGTCCTCTGATGTCTAAGTCATGGGCAAATGGAGGAAATACGAACCACTGGGAAAGAACTCTTGGAAAACATGCTGAGCATCCACAGAATGCTAGGGGCTGGGGTCCTCCATCTGGTTGGAAAGGGTGCTCATTGAGCAGTGTGGATATGGCCCTCTTCACTCCCTCAGCAGCCAGGCAGAACGCCAAAGGACTACAGGTCTTGGGGAAGGGAAAGGTTTAGGCTAATCCCAAGGACTTCCCAACACAGAGCAACAGTCCCCTGTGTCAGGCATGTTGGGTGTCTCCCGTTTCTTACAGCAGTCTCTGTGGGCAGCCTGAACTCCAGGACTGGCCAGCACAACACATCTCTCAGTTGAGAAGCTTAACTGCTTCTCCTGAGTTTTAAATGGTGACTGTAAATCTTTGAGAGAGTCTCTGGTTAGGTAGATTGATCTAGAAGAGTTAATGTTTTAAATGTATGTCACACTTCTAGAAATATACTATTAATATTGCCACAGGTGAATGATCCACTGTGCAGATCACTGGAATGTCACCTTCAACATTATCCAAACTCATTTCAATGCCTCCCTGCCTAATAAGGCTGTTGATAACCCATCCTTGTTTGTTAATGTTCTATAAACCCATCAGTGAAAAGCACCGAAGCAAAAATCTTGGTTTTGGCTGTAACAGAAGAGAGAGAGAGAGAGAGAGTGTGTGTGTGTGTGTGTGTGTTAGAATATACACTTGCCCATGTGATTTTGATAAATCTTGTAAGGACCATAGCTTAAGAAAGACATAAAAAAACTGTGCCTTCTGGAACAGGAGATGCTACTGTTCTAGGCAGAGAGGGTGGCTGATAGCTGAGGTGTGTTGTCCGATGGCTGGAGGTGCAGTGTGGTCTGAGCCTCAAAGCAGTGTTGTTCTGGGTGGAGATACAACTTGGGTAATCAAGAGTGCAGATTTTGTAGAGACGGAAAAGTTCAAAATTTCTAGCACCAGGAGCAGAGAGAAGTGGGAGCTAGTGAGTGAAGCGAAAACAAGGCTCTGTGCCCTGAGAAAGTGAAGTATCTTGGCTGGCTTATGACTTTGGGCTGTGTTTGTACCTGTGGGAGTAGATGTTACAGACAAGCTGAGTAGAGTAGGGTGATCGCAGGAATAAAAGGGAGTTTACAGGGATATAGGCATAGAGCTGGGGTGAGGAAAATCAGAGCAGGAAATATTTCATGAGTCACTGAGACTCTAGGATTCATTCACTTAGTAGCATTCCCTGCAAGGGCATTCAGTATGCATCACACACACGGCACTGCTGTTCCACAATAGTCAGCACTAACCACATGGCAGGGCACATGGCTGTGACCAGCTGGCCTTTTGCAAGCAAACGGTAAGAATAATCTCATCTGTTCTAGCATCTGTGCCAGATAGTCACTGTCCTGTGCCATGGATATGGCTGCAGGCCTCAGCCTGTCTGTATCCTCTGCCCCTCATCCTTGTTGCTGTCCATCCACTGGGCAAAACTCCAGCATTCTTACTACAATAAAATCACCTTCTAGCTAGAGAAAGAGCTCAAGGAGGCAACTTATAAGAAGCTTCTTTTAGATGAGAAATGGCATGATAGTGTTCTTTGGTCTTCCAGCAGCATGACCAGGTCTCTATTTTGAATGTTGCCAACAGGGAACAAGGGACAAAGCCAGGCCCCATGGCCACTACAGGTGCACCCCAGGCATCCTCATCATGGCCATTGCTCTCCCTTTCTCTCTTACAACAGAGTGTTGCGGGGGACGGCAGTATCTCTTTGTGTGACCCTGGCGGCTTATGGAACGTTGGCTTCAGACCTTTGTGATACACCATGCTGCGTGGGACAATGACGGCGTGGAGAGGAACAAGGCCTGAGGTCACACTGGCTTGCCTCCTCTTAGCCACAGCAGGCTGCTTTGCTGACTTGAGTGAGTGCTTTCCTTCCCTTTCCCTGCCCTTACAGTCAAATGGAAACATTCCACATTCTACAATAACTCTTTAAAAAGGCCTTCTTTACCTGGATTTCGAAGAACACTTGATTCCCATTGGCCTTCAGGGACACAAGAATACAAGATGAGACATGATCCCAGCAACATCATATTGGTTATAGTTTGGTATTTGACTCATTTCAAAGCTATACCAGAGGAGGAGGAGGAGAAGTAATAATAATAACTGCTTTTTGTTGTGCACTTACTGTACAATGTCATGGCAGGCAATTTACACATACTGTTTGCAAGCCTCATGACAACCTTGTGAGACAAGCAATATTAGCTTCATTTTACAGATAAGAAACTGACACTTCAAAAGGCTAGAGTCATATGGCTCAGAAGTAGTGGCACTGGGATCAGACTCAGGTCTGTCCAAACGCAAAGCCCAAGCTCTTGCCTTTACAATACATTCTCACTCCACATCTACTCTCTGGGAACAAAGGCAGGTTGGGAAATGGACAAGAGCAGTAGAGTCGGAGAAAGACCAGCTTCTCTGGTGACCACTTCTGGAAGACTTCCTGGGTGCAATGCTTCTAAAAACGTGATGTTGTTTTCTTGGGGGCATCAGTTCATTGCTGCATCCCTGTTCTTCCTCCAGACGAGGTCCCTCAGGTCACCGTCCAGCCTGCATCCACCGTCCAGAAGCCCGGAGGCACTGTGATCCTGGGCTGTGTCGTGGAGCCCCCAAGGATGAATGTAACCTGGCGCCTGAATGGGAAGGAGCTGAATGGCTCGGATGATGCTCTGGGTGTCCTCATCACCCACGGGACCCTCGTCATCACTGCCCTTAACAACCACACTGTGGGACGGTACCAGTGTGTGGCCCGGATGCCTGCGGGGGCTGTGGCCAGCGTGCCAGCCACTGTGACACTAGCCAGTGAGTCTGCTCATTTGTCTCCCTGCCATGGTGCAGTCCCTCCTCGTCTCTTCCCACCCTGAAGCCCCCACCATCCATGCTGCCTCTTGTTAGTCTCAGCATAAAATGGTCCTTAACTGCTGAAATGTCAAATCAGAACGGTAGCTGCCTAGTAATGCCCAGTCATGGGGGACCCTTGTGCCCTTGGAAAACCTCACTCCAAGTAGAGGCTGTATCTGGAGTGAGTGTCTACAGAGAGGGGAATTGGTCAGTGCTCTTGACATGGCAGAACTGTTCCCTGGGCCCCAGAGCAGGGCCATGCCGTGCCTTCCTACTTGGTCATCTGTGGCTGCAGGTGCACTGTCCCAACTACCCATGCCCCTTCCAGTCCCCTCCCTCCATTCTCACGATAGTTACACAGTCGGAGCAGGGAGAGACAGGACACCGAGAGACATGGGCAGGGCCATGTGTAGTGTGGACAGAGCCCACCCAGCCCAGACTTGGCCCTCTGTCTCTCTGTGAGGGGCAAGCATAGTCCAAAGGCCTGGAATATAAATACTAGAACATAATGAAAAGGAAACTGTGTGGCAGAGGGATAAAGGGATACAGAGAAAAGAAACAAGGAAGAGATGAGATGACAGTTTGGACCAAGGAAAATGCCAGGAGAAGACTTCATACTACCTTTTCTTTTTCTGGTTTTGCCATTCTTTTATTCATGTTGTTATGCTCAGTATAGGATAGTTTATTAAAATCATTATGTCTGTAGACATTCTATTTGTGATATAGAAATTGTGTTATCTCTGACCGCTAATTTTTCCTATTATGTGACAAAGAATATAGGTGCTCAGACCAACATGTGGAAACCAAGGGCCAAATGGCTTCTAAGGTCCCTCCCAACTGAATAATTCCGGTAAATTCCATTTCCATGCACTCACTGATGGATCGTCCTCATGGCCACTCTTATTTCTTTTATGCTTGTGAAAGGTGTAGTTTTTACAAAATTACTTGAGTGTGTATTATAAAGATTCAACAGAGCAAAGTAAAGGCCAAGTGACTTGACAGAGTCATAGCTGGTAAGGAGGAGCCTTACCAAGACAGGTGTTT